TCTCCCTCTTCCTCCTCTTCCTCCTCCTCCTCGTCCTCCTCCTCCTCCTCCTGTAGGAGTCCTAATCCTCCTGACGCAGCTCTCTCAGACTTAAAACAACACAAATAGGAGCTTCATGCAAACGGCTGGAAGCGGCGGTGCAGCCTCAGAGCCAAGAGACCAAATCCTGTTACAGGCCGAGGGAGAGGGGGGAGGGAGGGCGAGACTGGGGGGGAGAGAAGGGGAGACAGGGGGGAGAGAAGGGGAGACAGGGGGGAGAGACGGGGAGTGATCTGCTTATGAGATTATCCCACATGTGAAAGTCCACCCAAACACTCTCACCCACAGAGCCCTGCCACACTGAGAATCCATTAGCATTAGCGTCATTAGCTTCATTAGCATTAGCCCCATTAGCCTCATTAGCATTAGCGTCATTAGCTTCATTGAGGCGTTATAGCAGGGCTGGTTTTCTGGGTCGAATAAACTCACAATCTGTACAAAGTCTCCTGAAGGAAACATGTTTTTCAGATGAGCGTTGGTGGATGGTTTGTTGATGGTTGGTGGATGGTTTGTTGATGGTTGGTGGATGGTTGGTTAATGGTTTGTTGATGGTTGATAGATGGTTGGTTGATGGTTGGTTGATGGTTGATTGATGGTTGGTTGATGTTCTGTTGATGGTTGGTTGATTGATGGTTGGTTGATGGTTGGTGGATGGTTGGTTGATGGTTAGTGGATGGTTGGTTAATGGTTTGTTGATGGTTGATAGATGGTTGGTTGATGGTTTGTTGATGGTTGGTTGATGGTTGGTTGATGGTTGATTGATGGTTGGTTGATGTTCTGTTGATGGTTGGTTGATGGTTGGTTAATGGTTTGTTTATGGTTGATAGATGGTTGGTTGATGGTCTGTTGATGGTTGTCTCCATGGTACATTCTCTAACGTTGTGCTCTCTTCTCTTTTGCATGTTCTGCTGCTGCTCTCCGACAGGTAAGAGACTTATCTATGTTTGAACTGTTTGATTTTCTGATCAGCGTCGAAGAATCAACAACTTTGTGAAGTCCTCAGAGAAAACTACTGTTGTGATTTAGGGTGAAACAAGAAGCTGCAGAGAGGTCAGAGGACCAGAAAGAGACCAGAGAGAGATTAGAGAGAGAGGGACCAGAGAGGGAGAGATTAGAGAGAGAGGGACCAGAGAGAGAGAGATTAGAGAGAGAGGGACCAGAGAGGGACCAGAGAGGGACCAGAGAGGGACCAGAGAGAGACCAGAGAGAGACCAGAGAGAGACCAGAGAGAGACCACAGAGAGACCAGAAAGAGACCAGAGAGAGACCAGAGAGAGAGACCAGAGAGATACCAGAGAGAGACCAGAGAGAGACCAGAGATAGACCAGAGAGAGAGACCAGAGAGATACCAGAGAGAGACCAGAGAGAGACCAGAAAAGAGACCTGAGAGAGACCAGAGAGAGACCAGAAAGAGAGACCAGAGAGAGACCAGAGAGAGAGACCAGAGAGATACCAGAGAGAGACCAGAGAGAGACCAGAGAGAGACCAGAAAAGAGACCTGAGAGAGACCAGAGAGAGACCAGAAAGAGAGACCAGAGAGAGAGAGACCAGAAAGAGCCCAGAGAGAAAGACCATAGACAGAGAGACACTAGCGAAACCAGAGCAGAGTTGATAGTTTTGGAAACGCCTGTGAGAGTGAACCGTTGCTGCTGTGGTTTTGTGCAGAAGTGTCTCCACTGAACACCAGGTCACAGAGAAGTCACTCACAAGGTCTTTCAAATCTGGTCTCTCTCTGGTCTCTCTCTGGTCTCTCTCTGGTCTTTCACATGTCTCTCTGGTCTCTCTCTGGTCTCTCTCTGGTCTCTCTCTGGTCTCTCTCTGGTCTTTCACATGTCTCTCTGGTCTCTCTCTGGTCTCACTCTGGTCTCTCTCTCTGGTCTCTCTCTGGTCTCACTCTGGTCTCTCTCTCTGGTCTCTCTCTGGTCTCTCTCTGGTCTCTCTCTGGCCTCAGGCTGTGGTTGTGATGACATCTTGGTTAAACCTGTTTCTGTGGTTTGAATCTCACCCTCACTACTGCTTTTACTATGAAGTCTCACACCAGAATAGACAAGCGAGAGACCAGAGAGAGACCAGAGAGAGAGACCAGAGAGAGACCAGAGAGAGACCAGAGAGAGACCAGAGAGAGACCAGAGAGAGAGACCAGAGAGAGAGACCAGAGAGAGACCAAAGAGAGACCAGAGAGAGACCAGAGAGAGAGACCAGAGAGAGAGAGACCAGAGAGAGAGACCAGAGAGAGAGAGAGACCAGTGAGAGAGACCAGAGAGAGACCTGCAGAAGACCAGAGAGACCAGAGAGAGACCAGAGCCTGTCATTGGGCTCAGTGTGTGAAGGTGCAGCTCGTGACTGAGAGGTCACAGGACTTCAGCTTCTCTGTTAAATGGAGCAGCGGAGACATTACGAGCTCCTAAGTGGGTTTGCAACGAAAATGGAAGCAGTGTGACCTGGGTCTGAGTGGGTTTCTCTCAAAAATATCTATCTCTTTCATACTCTACATGTTTAAAGCTGAGGTATGTAACTTTGGTCTCAACAATAACATGTCATACAGAGAGAGACCAGAGGGAGACCAGAGGGAGACCAGAGAGAGACCAGAGAGAGAGACCAGAGAGAGACCAGAGAGAGACCAGAGAGAGACCAGAGAGAGACCAGAGAGAGACCAGAGAGAGAGACCAGAGGGAGACCAGAGGGAGACCAGAGAGAGACCAGAGAGAGACCAGAGAGAGACCAGAGAGAGAGACCAGAGGGAGACCAGAGGGAGACCAGAGGGAGACCAGAGGGAGAAAACCCGAGCGCTGTGCTTCTGTTTCCGTTCTACCTCAGTGAAGCCATGACCCAGTGTGAAACACGTGTTTTTGCTTTCCCTGAGCGTTGTAGCATCTACAGTACTGTAGATCTAGATTATTGCAGAATATTCATATATTTTTGTCCAAAGTTTGCAGTTCCCCTGAGTGGGTCGTGTGTGCGCACATCAGGCGTGTATCTCCGTTTATTTAAACCAGAGAAGGTTTGTTTGTGAACGCTCGAGAGCTTGTGTCGCTCTGTCTTGGGCAGAAGTTTCTAAAACAACGAGAACACGACCCTTTGGCTTTCACTGATTTCCCAAATATCAGCCCAGAGCAGCTTCGTGGTAATCACCAACGTACTGCGTTGTTTAGGAGTGAACAGGTTTGTGTGTGCGCCTCGTCTCATTCACGTCTGTCTGGGATACTGCTGTAGTGGTTGATGGTGTGGTAGATGGTGTGGATGATGGTGTGGTGGATGGTGTGGTTGATGGTGTGGTGGATGGTGTGGTTGATGGTGTGGTAGATGGTGTGGTGGATGGTGTGGATGATGGTGTGGTGGATGGTGTGGTTGATGGTGTGGTTGATGGTGTGGATGATGGTGTGGTGGATGGTGTGGTTGATGGTGTGGTTGATGGTGTGGTTGATGGTGTGGTGGATGGTGTGGTTGATGGTGTGGTAGATGGTGTGGATGATGGTGTGGTGGATGGTGTGGTTGATGGTGTGGTTGATGGTGTGGATGATGGTGTGGTGGATGGTGTGGTTGATGGTGTGGATGATGGTGTGGTTGATGGTGTGGTTGATGGTGTGGTTGATGGTGTGGTAGATGGTGTGGTTGATGGTGTGGTTGATGGTGTGGTAGATGGTGTGGTAGATGGTGTGGTGGATGGTGTGGTTGATGGTGTGGTAGATGGTGTGGTGAGTGATGGTGTGGTAGTGGTGTGTGTGGTTGATGGTGGTGGTGGAGATGGTGTGGTGATGGTGTGGTGGTGGTGGGTGTGGGTGTGGTGATGTGTGTGTGTGATGGTGTGGTTGGTGTGGTGGTGATGGTGGTGATGATGGTGTGGTGATGTGGTGATGGTGGTGGTAGATGGTGTGGTTGATGGTGTGGTTGATGGTGTGGTTGATGGTGTGGTGGATGGTGTGGTTGATGGTGTGGTAGATGGTGTGGTAGATGGTGTGGTGGATGGTGTGGTAGATGGTGTGGTTGATGGTGTGGTGGATGGTGTGGTTGATGGTGTGGTTGATGGTGTGGTAGATGGTGTGTGGGTGGGATGTGTGTGGTTGATGGTGTGTAGATGGTGTGGATGATGGTGTGGTGTGGTGTGGTGATGGTGTGGATGATGGTGTGGATGGTGGTGTGGTTGATGGTGTGGTGATGTGGTGTGTGATGGTGTGGTTGGATGGTGTGGTAGGTGTGTGTGGGTGTGTTGATGGTGTGGTGATGGTGTGGATGATGGTGTGGTGGATGGTGTGGTGTGGATGGTGTGGGATGATGGTGTGGATGGTGATGGTGTGGATGATGGTGTGGATGATGGTGTGGATGATTGATGGTGTGGTGATGATGGTGTGGATGATGGTGTGTGTGATGGTGTGGAGATGGTGTGTAGATGGTGTGTAGATGGTGTGGGTGATGGTGTGGATGATGGTGTGGATGATGGTGTGGTGATGGTGTGGATGATGGTGTGGTAGATGGTGTGGATGATGGTGTGGATGATGGTGTGGATGATGGTGTGTAGATGGTGTGGATGATGGTGTGTAATGGTGTGGTAGATGGTGTGGATGATGGTGTGAATGATGGTGTGGTGATGGTGTGGATGATGGTGTGTACGATGGTGTGGATGATGGTGTGTACGATGGTGTCGATGATGGTGTGTACGATGGTTTGTACGATGGTGTGGATGATGGTGTGGATGATGGTGTGTACGATGGTGTGGATGATGGTGTGGATGATGGTGTGGATGATGGTGTGTACGATGGTGTGTACGATGGTGTGTACGATGGTTTGTACGATGGTGTGGATGATGGTGTGGATGATGGTGTGTACGATGGTTTGTACGATGGTGTGGATGATGGTGTGGACGATGGTGTGGATGATGGTGTGGATGATGGTGTGGATGATGGTGTGTACGATGGTGTGGATGATGGTGTGGATGATGGTGTGGATGATGGTGTGTACGATGGTGTGGATGATGGTGTGTACGATGGTGTGTACGATGGTGTGTACGATGGTGTGTACGATGGTGTGTACGATGGTGTGGATGATGGTGTGGATGATGGTGTGGATGATGGTGTGGATGATGGTGTGGATGATGGTGTGTACGATGGTGTGGATGATGGTGTGGATGATGGTGTGTACGATGGTGTGGATGATGGTGTGTACGATGGTGTGTACGATGGTGTGGATGATGGTGTGAATGATGGTGTGGATGATGGTGTGGATGATGGTGTGTACGATGGTGTGGATGATGGTGTGTACGATGGTGTCGATGATGGTGTGTACGATGGTTTGTACGATGGTGTGGATGATGGTGTGGATGATGGTGTGTACGATGGTGTGGATGATGGTGTGGATGATGGTGTGGATGATGGTGTGTACGATGGTGTGGACGATGGTGTGGATGATGGTGTGGACGATGGTGTGGATGATGGTGTGTACGATGGTGTGGATTATGGTGTGGATGATGGTGTGTACGATGGTGTGGATGATGGTGTGGAAGATGGTGTGGACGATGGTGTGTACGATGGTGTGGATGATGGTGTGGATGATGGTGTGTACGATGGTGTGGATGATGGTGTGTACGATGGTGTGTACGATGGTGTGGATGATGGTGTGGATGATGGTGTGTACGATGGTGTGGATGATGGTGTGGATGATGGTGTGGACGATGGTGTGGATGATGGTGTGTACGATGGTGTGGATGATGGTGTGGATGATGGTGTGAATGATGGTGTGGACGATGGTGTGGATGATGGTGTGGATGATGGTGTGGATGATGGTGTGTACGATGGTGTGGATGATGGTGTGTACGATGGTGTGTACGATGGTGTGGATGATGGTATGGACGATGGTGTGGACGATGGTGTGGACGATGGTGTGGATGATGGTGTGTACGATGGTGTGGATGATGGTGTGTACGATGGTGTGGATGATGGTGTGTACGATGGTGTGGATGATGGTGTGTACGATGGTGTGGATGATGGTGTGGATGATGGTGTGGATGATGGTGTGTACGATGGTGTGGATGATGGTGTGGATGATGGTGTGGATGATGGTGTGGATGATGGTGTGGATGATGGTGTGGATGATGGTGTGTACGATGGTGTGGATGATGGTGTGGATGATGGTGTGGATGATGGTGTGTACGATGGTGTGGACGATGGTGTGTACGATGATGTGTACGATGATGTGTACGATGGTGTGGATGATGGTGTGGATGATGGTGTGGATGATGGTGTGGATGATGGTGTGTACGATGGTGTGGATGATGGTGTGGATGATGGTGTGGATGATGGTGTGGATGATGGTGTGTACGATGGTGTGGATGATGGTGTGTACGATGGTGTGTACGATGGTGTGGATGATGGTGTGAATGATGGTGTGGATGATGGTGTGGATGATGGTGTGTACGATGGTGTGGATGATGGTGTGTACGATGGTGTCGATGATGGTGTGTACGATGGTTTGTACGATGGTGTGGATGATGGTGTGGATGATGGTGTGTACGATGGTGTGGATGATGGTGTGGATGATGGTGTGTACGATGGTGTGTACGATGGTGTGTACGATGGTGTGGACGATGGTGTGGATGATGGTGTGGATGATGGTGTGGATGATGGTGTGTACGATGGTGTGGATGATGGTGTGGATGATGGTGTGGATGATGGTGTGGATGATGGTGTGTACGATGGTGTGGATGATGGTGTGTACGATGGTGTGTACGATGGTGTGTACGATGGTGTGTACGATGGTGTGTACGATGGTGTGGATGATGGTGTGGATGATGGTGTGGATGATGGTGTGGATGATGGTGTGTACGATGGTGTGGATGATGGTGTGGATGATGGTGTGTACGATGGTGTGGATGATGGTGTGTACGATGGTGTGTACGATGGTGTGGATGATGGTGTGAATGATGGTGTGGATGATGGTGTGGATGATGGTGTGTACGATGGTGTGGATGATGGTGTGTACGATGGTGTCGATGATGGTGTGTACGATGGTTTGTACGATGGTGTGGATGATGGTGTGGATGATGGTGTGTACGATGGTGTGGATGATGGTGTGTACGATGGTGTGGATGATGGTGTGGATGATGGTGTGTACGATGGTGTGGATGATGGTGTGTACGATGGTGTGTACGATGGTGTGTACGATGGTGTGTACGATGGTGTGTACGATGGTGTGGATGATGGTGTGGATGATGGTGTGGATGATGGTGTGGATGATGGTGTGGATGATGGTGTGTACGATGGTGTGGATGATGGTGTGGATGATGGTGTGTACGATGGTGTGGATGATGGTGTGTACGATGGTGTGTACGATGGTGTGGATGATGGTGTGAATGATGGTGTGGATGATGGTGTGGATGATGGTGTGTACGATGGTGTGGATGATGGTGTGTACGATGGTGTCGATGATGGTGTGTACGATGGTTTGTACGATGGTGTGGATGATGGTGTGG